GGCTTGAGGGCCCAGCCTTTTCCTTATCGGTCGCATCTCATGCATCCCATCGACTTCTCCGGGAATTCCATCATGGCTGAGAGATTTGCCAAGGCCCAGCGATAAGGGACCAGGCTCGCAGCCAGGGTTATGTGAGGGTGCTGACAAAGGTTCAGGGTTATGTGAAGGGATTCCGTCCACAACCTCTTTCTCCGCGGAAGGGGGATCGAGATAACCACATGCATGGCGGTTGATAGGAGCCGCCTGTCGCTATCGCCGCGACCTTGGAACAACCACCCATTGGCACTACCAAAAGCTTGGTCGTCGCCGGCTATACTGTACGGTACTTGTGATGCTGCAACCGAAGATCTAGATAGCACCCCACGCTGCTGGTAGTTCTGACAGTCCTGAAGGATAGCAGTCGCTGAGAGATGTACATCTCCGGTACATCTGAGCGGCGATGGTGGTTTTCCGAAAAGTCTCGGAATTGATAAGGGCATGGCTGCGCTCCAAACCTTCATGATAAGCTTTTGCCACTCTTGAAGCCATCGGCGTTGTTATCGCTCTTTTGAAATGAGTATATGACATCTCCGGTGCAAGCTTTTTGTCCGTTTTCGATGCTGTATGACACAGGACCTAAGGAGGAGAGAGTGATCAGATAAGGACTGTAAGGGTGAGAAGAGGTCTCGAATTACATTACCCGATGACCCATTGGCCAGAAACGGGATGCGCATGTTGTCGGAGATGGTTGATCGTGGTGTTGTCTTGACCTTGGATCGATCTCCATCCGCTCCGGTTTCGGTGCTGGGACTGTACAATATCGGCGACTCGTCAGACAATCTGTGGTTACTGCTCCGGTCAACGTTTTCATACGAATACCCATTGACACCCGAGCAATCCTTTTCTTGTAGCACCATTCGCAATTAATCTTTTGTTCCAGTCAACTGTTCCCGTTCGTGAAAGTGCGCACTGACTTCAGCCCTACAGCCCTACAATCCACAGTCATGACTCGAGCTGGTGGAGTTGGAGGGCCCTGTTGCATGGATGTGGTCATGTAGACCGGAGGAACATGCTTCCAGTGCTCATTGTTCCATAACCGTCTCATTATCGCCCGTCTCTAAGATATGTACAGGGCGGGGGTGTGGTCTCGCGATCCTGTTTTCCTCGCGCTGTGCTGTGTGTCCGTCTTGCGTCCTGTGTTCCGTCGTTTCCCGATCTTTCTCGGACTCAGTTGCTCCGCGCTCCACCCTTGGCCGCCCTCAACTCGTCCATCTTGGCGACGCGCTTCTTGAACTCGACGTATTGGCACTTTTCGTATGTGTGTCGCTCGTCCTGCGGCGGGGTTGTCAGTTCATCGTTTGCCTGTGTGTGTTCCGCTCGATGTATCTGGGGCCAAGGCAACGGCCTGTCGTACCTCGCACTTCCACGGGAGGTAGTAGGTATCGTAGCGACACCGGTTTAGCGGAATAAGGAGGTGGGCACAGCTGTCGCGGTAGGCTAGGGGAAGTTTGGCATCGCGCATCTCCTCGCGGGTGGCCTCTGTTTCGTTTCCAGCGCAACCCCTCCGTTAGCAAGCGCATTCTTCCTTGGTTCGGGGAGGGTAGTACGAGAAGGGAGGATTACGCCTAGCAGTGGTGATTGAAGAATCGGACGCCATCTTGGATCAGCAATTGGAGGGGCGACCGTCTCGTGGGATGGTGGTGGTCTTTGTAAACTGACAGTCCAGGATGTTGTCACTTTCGTCTCGACGTCGACCATGTCCAAACTGTGGAGCTTCCCCAGCTTCCAATGATCGCGTGGTCCGAGCGTCACGAATGTCGAAGTAGCCACACGTGTAGAGTCACATGATAACTGCCAAGCCTGAACAGGGCGCGGCAGTTCAAGTGTTGTCCCCAAACGATTCACCACTTTACCATACAAGCTTCTTTCAACGTCAACTCTTTCATCTTACAACCCGCTGATCGCCGTGGCACCACATCAACCCTTTCTTAACGACACACTCTAATTATCGACTTTCTATACAACACGACCTGTTATGGACAAGTTCCTTTCTCTCAGCGCATTCATCAAGCACGAACATGCCCGTTCAGAACAGCCTCCATGCATCGACCCACACCTCTCACCGTGGTCACTAGCAAGTTCTGGCTCTTACGCTCATTTCTTGCAAATGGATTAATGATTACTATCAAATGTTAATACTCCATGTTAAGCAAACCCCTCTTCCGACACTGGTGATCCCCCGTTCTGGTTCGCTCCAAAGCGGCTCCAATCCTTCATCCCGGGACTTTCATCCCCATCCCCCCGTCCCTCCCTGTCCCACTGCAGCACCCAAGAATTCCACGGCCCCGGCGGCCCAAACATGATCGTCTCTATCGCCTCCACCTCACCAGGACTCGGCGGCGGCGTAAACGGTGTCTGTTTGCGCTTGAGATCTCCCTTGAGATCGTATTCGATTTTGATGTCTCGGGGTTTGCGGTACCGGATTCTTTCAAACCGATAGGTCTTGCTCACCCAGAGCTTGTCCTTGTCAACACTGTGAACCGGGGCAGGCGGGTGACGGAGGAAGGCCCCGGTGACAGGCCGCCGGAGCTTGCGGGTGTAGATGATCCTTGCTTTGCTGCGCAGTGTCTCTTTACCGTCCAGCGGAATAGCGATTTGATAATCCTCAGGTCTTTGGGCGCCGGGACACTTTATCTTTCTGCTATACTTGGTCCTATTCGGGACCTGATACGGCATCGTGCTCATGCGCTGCCCCGTCGCCCACCTCACGCTGTCGACGCCATCCCGGGACCTACGCCGCTCGTCCACCTCTTTATCCGCCAGATCGATCATGGCGTGGTGGAACCATTCATTACTAGGCGCTAGAAGGAGACGAAACCCGTCTTTCCACCTGTTGTAATCCATCTCCATCAGCCTCGCGAAAGGAATAACCCCATGTCGGTTTTTGTCGCACAAGTGCGCCACGTGACTGAACCGCTTGACCACATCAATCAGCGTCTTGGAGTAGTTAGCATCCAGGTACTCAGCCCATATCTCCGCCCAGTCCTCGGGAATTGCCTGCATCGTGAACTTCGGCAGCTCCCGGCGGCCGGCCAGGAGCATATGATGCAGCGTCAGCCCAAACTCGGCCTTATCCTTCCAGCTTTCCCTGTCCGGCAAATCAGGACACTCCTCAGCCATCAAACAAAAGCTATTATTACTCTCCCGATTCACCGCCAGCCCAAAGTCACCCAGGGTGACCTGCGGAAAACAATCGTCAAACTGCTCGAGACAGTTCTCCCGATCATTCTCCCTCTCATACTGCGTCGCAAAATGCAGCCAAATATTCGCCGAATGCCCATCACAATGGGCCGTGGGCACCCAATCCTTAGCTCTCGCCTCCTCCCTCGCCATCCACTCCCGCTCCTCCCTCCCGCGGCGCGGCGGTCCCCTCACCGACCCTCTCTCCTGCGTCTTCTCCGGCATCGTCCGGCCCGTATGAACAAACTTGTACGCCCTCCCCACCTGCGCAATGACATGCCAAATCATGGCCTCCGGAATCGGCTTCGCTTGGTCCTTATACCTGTCAATCAGGTACTCCACCTGCCCCCCATTATAAAACTTGCCAAAGTGCGTCACGTTCTCCTCCGGCCAGTTGTTCAGCTGGAACGCGTGCGTCTGCGGCAAGCACGTCAGGTGCGGATGGTACAGGAAACTAAATTTCAGCGTGCGACCCATAGGGTCGGGAAGATTGTTGTACGCGACCTCCCCCGGCACTTCGCCCGCTAAGGGAGTCCGCTGCTGATACCCGTTTGGAAGCCATCGGCCCTTCCAGCCTTTGATGCGCTTGACGACGACGAGCATGGGGTCCGGACCGACGGTGCGCCATAGACCGACCGAGACGCCGGTTGTGGCGTTGAGGTCGTACTTCTTGAGCCAGTTGACGAAGACTAGACGTAACCCGTCGGGGAAGTCTTGACTGGACCCAGGGCGGAGGAACGCGTTGCTAATTGGGTTGAGCCCGTTCCGCCGGAGTGTGTCGGGCGCCCGCATGGGGTAGCAAGTGTAGGTGAGGTGGTGCCAGGGGAATTCGGCGTTGACGGCGGCGTTGTCGTCTTCGGGCCGGTCTTGGAATTCGTGGTCACCCTGGTTGAAGCCTTCCGGCAGCATCATGGGGAAGTAATCGGCTGCTTGCGGGGTGGCGGGTTCGGGGTAATATTCTTGTTGGTCCTGCATTATCTCGTCCATGGATTCGTTGTATTCGCTATCGTCCGATGGGACGTTGCCCTCGTGGATGTCCTCATCACTAGCAACGGGTGATGAGAAGGGTATATGCGGCATGGTCGAGGATGATTGATGTGATGGTAGTGTCTATGGGTTGTTGGTGGTAAGTGAAAGTGAAAGTGAATCGATGAATTGAACGGAGGGGAAATGAACAGCGGCTCTGATCATGGTCGTCGTATTTGGCTGTTTATGAAGACTCGGGTGCACAAAGGGGCTTGTTCCGGATTCCCGGAAGTGAACAATGGCCTTGCAACTTGAGCCATGCACAAAGAGAGGAATCCCCGCCCGGCCTTTGTTTGGACTAAGTTAATTATGGCACGGTCTATTGTTTGTTGGCACAAAGACAGCCTACATAGGCCGAGCTGCTCCTCGTGGCAAGTCCTCGCGGAGGCATTGGTGGGAATTAGGTACGTACCTTACTCAGCTGGTTGGTTTACACCAGCGGTGAGCGGGAGGATTGGAGTATTCCACATTCTCATCCAAGCATGATGCCTCAGTGGCATTTCAGAATGGTACCAGGTATTCTTCCACATTGTTTTGGAAATGGACATAAATGAACCGAGTGAGTGAGTGAGTGTCGACGTCGCTCAGGACGGGCGGGAGTCATTCAGCGCCTACCTATTGATTCACGAATCAACGTCCCTCGAATCAAGTTTCACCACTGAAAAAAGACCCAAAAAGAATCACCAAAACTATCCAAGCCGTCGTAGAACTTCAACGTTCCAGCCAAAAGAAGGTAAAAAAAATGCAAAAAGAGATGCCTACTACAGGAATCGAACCTGTGATCTTTGCATGTCGTCGTTACCCAATCCCTTAAGGGGCTAGGTCGTTATACAAGTGCAACGCATTAGCCACTATGCTAAGCAGGCATTTGTTTTGTTGAAAGAACCCTGCTGACAGTGACGTTATGTACCGCAAACACTGCACCCCAGTGTGTGTGGGTCATAAAGGGGGCTCAGAAGGGACCGCGAGGAGGATGTTGGACACTCGGTGTTATTGATAAATTGGCATTCAATAGAGTTGAGGCAAGATTGTAGCTTTTCTTTATAATGGTTAAGCTGTTATGTCCCACTGCATATCCATGGTGCTCTTGATTGTAGAGGTTTCTTGCGCGACAAAGTCGCAGATGTCGGTTGGATGCGCTGTTACCGGCAGAAGGCGCATACCCAGACCTAAGACATGCAGCAAATAGCCCACTACTTCCCACTTCTAAAACCTAGCATCGCAAAAAAAACCTTCCATTGCTGAAAAGTTTATCGCCCATCCCAGTACTACAGTTCTTTCGCTTCATGCACCCCATCGTCTTCATCTGTCTCCCGCTTCTTGGTATCAACCCGCGATCGAGATGCCCAAGACCATATCCGATAAGAAGGCGGCCGAGCTGCTGGAAGATTTTCTTAGTTCCAGGGGCGGCAGTCTCTATTTGAAAAACTGGGAACAGGAACTGAAGGCCATCATCCAGGTTTTCGTCATCAAATATCATGAGCTCTCGCCGAAGGCTGAGGAGCCTGCGGGTACCAAGAACTGCCCCAGCAAACTGTTGCATCAGTTCTTTGTCAAGTCGCTCCGCAATGCCATGAACGACTTGCCGTCCGATGTCGGAAAATTGAAGGAGGCAGTTGATGCGCTTGATGGCAAGCATGCGTCCCGCAAGAGACGTCGCTCGGATAACCACGAGGGCGTCAAAGTTGATATTCCGAAAGGAAAGCGCGCCAAGATCGAATGGGTCTCCAAGTTCACAGTTTACACCAGCGGCTCTTACGCAATCCATGTCCAGAAAGGCCAGACCGAGGTCATTGAGTTCACTCTCGACGACGCTTCGATCCTCGACGTCAAGTTTCGGTCTGCCCCAGGAAGGACTATAACCGACGATAACGTGCAAATTCTGAACGACAAGCCAGCAGGCACAGCGTAGTGTTACGATCCAATCAGGGATCACTTATGTAAGCTAGATCAGATAGAACCAACAGACCAACCAGGGAGGATCCG